TGTGATAACGTCCTATGAAAATCTGAAGGATACATAACAATCTGGCTGCTGCATTTTGCACTAGATTTAGGACGTTATTACTCCGCTAAATAAAGCGTCTTACCTCTCCCAAATTCAATTCTAATTCGGACAGCATCCAGATACTATTGAAAGGATTTTGATGCCAAATCTGTCGCCCGAGTATAGCCCAGGTCCAATCCTGGTCCCAGGAGTGCTCCTGCAGCCATTTTCTTAAGTTGGAAAACTCCCAGTTTGGAAAAGAGGCACGCTCAGTGTGCCAGGGACCAGGGCTGGACCCAGGCTGTATTCGGGTGGCAGATTCAACAGCAAAATCCCTGCGACAGTATCCGGATGCCGCCCAAATTAGAATTGAATTTGGGAGAGGTAAGACACTTTATTTTAGCAGAGGGATAAGCTCCTTAGTTTCCAAACACTGCTCAAGGGCAGCCCCATTTAGAGTGCACCATCAAAGGTCCAAAACACACTGCAGAAATAATCCAGTTTGAGACCGCTTTAACTGCCCTGGGTCAGTGTTAGGGAATCCTGGGCCTTATAGTTTATTGTGGAACCAGAGGTCTCTGCCAGAAAAGGCTAAATGTGTTAGAAAACTAGTTCTCAGAATTCCCTAACTCTGAGCCAGGGCAGTTAAAGCGGTCTCAAAATGGATTATTATTTCTGCAATGTGTTTTGGACCATAGTAGTCTAACTGAAATGTGATTAAAGCATGAGCCACTGTGTCCAGATCTGCCCTCCCTAGGAAAGGGTGCAGCTGGTGCACCAATGGTAGTAAAGGCCCTTCTGGCCACAGAAGCTACTACCTTCCAGGAGCAGTGCTGGGTACAATACAACTCTTGAGCCATGACCTCCTCCTTCAGACTGACTAAGTGTAACACCATCCAGAACAGGTAGTGATCCCAATCCTAGGTTAGCTTTCCTACTTATGAACAACACTCATGTCTTGTCTGGACTGAGACCCTGTTTATCCACACTTTTCACCTTCATTTCATACAGTAATTCAGGACTTCCACAACTTCCTTGACATTAGTTGTAAAAGAGAGAGTTGGCTGTCATCAGCCTACTGATCTCAGATCATTAGGTGATTTTCAACAGCCTCATGGAGATGTTAAAAAGCATAGAGTACAGTACTGTGGAACCCAATAGGCTAACAGCCAGGAGGCCAAACACATGCCTTCCACATGCCTTAATGCTTGTTTTTAATGCTTTATTCATACCATCACCAGATCCACAATGTGATCCAAAACTGGATGCTGATAAAAGATGTGTTTGTTGGGCAGAACCCTTGTTGCAAAGTTGCTGGAACTGTGGATTCTTTCAATCTTTGCTTTAACCTTTGATCAATATTCTCCAGGACTCCTTAGAAGAAGTCTATATAAGCATTGTTCTCTAAAATGTTTCATCAGATTCTTTTATAACGATATATGTTGCCTCTTATATAACATCAAAATGTTTGTCTGTGCATGGACTTGCTCAGAGACAAAGAAATTTTAGAGATTTGGCAAAGATTTTATGGCAAAGATCTTGGGAAGTGTAATCTCATTGAAGCCAGAACTCTTCTTATTAAATATGGCATATGTTTTAGAGAAAGACATTGAAAGGAAAAATTGGAGAATAATTCTTTATATAGTCACCACTGCAAGAATTCTTTTTGCTCAAAAATGGAAATCTCCAGATTACCAACAAGTGAAGAATGGATGATGAAACTAATAGACATGATGCAAATGGATAAAGTGACAACTGAACAACAAACCAGCTGAAACAATAGAAGAAGACTGCAATACAGTGAGGGAATACTGGAAAAGACTTCGGCCAAATACAAGTTTTTTATAGATGGTTAAAACAATGAAGAATCTGGAAAAGGGAAAATAAAAATAAAAATTATAATGATATTAATATTAAAAGAATAATACAGAAATTAGAAAAAATAGCAAGGAAAAAATGAAGAGATTGAGAGATAGACAGAGAGGGAAATGAGAGTATAGGTAATAAAAAAAAAGGGGGGGGG